TTTAAGTGAAAAGGTGCTGAGTGCAATTTGGGACCCACTGAGTTTGAAGTTCAAGGGAACATGTGAGTGGATATGTGGAGCAGGCAGCTGTTTACATGAGTCTGAAGCTTAGCGCAAAGATGCGAGTTGGAGATACCATTGTTTTTAAAATTAGCTTCAGCCTGGGCACAGTGGCTTATACCTGTAATCCCAGCACTTTGGGAGGCTGAGGCAGGCGGATTGCTTGAGCCCAGGAATTCAAGACCAGCCTGGGCAACATGGCAAGCTGGTCTTGAACTCCCCATGGCAAACTCGTCTCTATAAAAAAACACAAAAAATTAGCCAGGCATGGTGGCACGAGCTTGTAGTCCCAGCTACCCAGGAGGCTGAGGTAGGAAGATCACCTGAGCCCGGGAGGTCAAAGCTGCAGTGAGCCATGATCGGGCCACTGCACTCTGGCCTGGGTGACACAGTGAGACCTTGTCTCAAATAAATAAATAAATAAATAATAAAATAAAATTAGCTTCATTGAGGTGTAATCCCCATAAATTCCCCACAAAATAATAAACCAACCTTAAATCTGGCGAGTTCTGATAAATGCATGCACAATCACATAACCACCACAGGCATCATGATACAGAGTATTTCTGTCAGCCTCCAAAAGTCCCCTCCTGTCCCTTGGAGACACTATTTGGAGAGCGGTCAATAAAAGGTGATCATTTAAGCTCTGAGTGTGAAGGAGGCCCCATGGAGGGGATATGCAGACTGAGAGCAAGGAGGGAGAAACAAACATACAGGAAGAGGCTAGGAAAGGAGGAGGCCGCAGGGCATCCACAGAGGTACCCAGTAAGCCAAGAAGGAAGGCAGAGGTTCTATAAACATGGACTGGCCAACAGTGGCAACTGTTTATAGAGACAATAATAACTAAGATATACTATCTTTTTTTCTTTAAGTACATTGCATTGGTTAATTAGGCCAGAAGAGCCCTTGGAGTCAGTTGCAGTAAACTGATGAATGCAGAAGATCCTGTGCAATGGGTGAGGGAACTGAAGAAGAGAAAGAAGACAGAATACCGAGAGGATGCTGTAGAAAGACTGGGATTTGACTGCAGCTAGGGGAAAGTGCCCTGGGATTGTGGAAAGAGAATCCTGGACCCGGAGTTAGGACCTGGACTCTTGCTCCTTGCCTACCCCTTACTGGCTGTGTGATCTTAGACAATCCTCTATTTGCCCAGGCCTGTTTCCTTGTCTGTAAAATAGAGTGGCTGAGTCAGATGGTCTACACCATTCCTTCTATTTTGATTCTGTGGCACCCTATGCACGTCTCACAACATGGAGATCATGAGCTAATGGTTAAGACTGGCAAGAACAATTTCAATGAACTGGTGGGAATGGTATGAATTGAAATGTGAGTAAAGAGTCCCTCCAGGAAACCTGACTATGAAGCACACTAGAAAAAGGAGGGAGAAGAACATGTGTTTTGAGTATCTACTGTAGAACTTCAACGTCATGAGACAACATTTTGAGGTCCAGATGGGGCAGCCCCTGACTAGAGAGCCGGGCCAGTGCCCACAAACTCCAGGAGAACGAACATTTATTAGATACATAGTAAATGTTAATAACTCCGCAACGTGCTCCATGTGTGGAAAAAGCTAGAGGGCCAATGTCCTTCCCGTCCCCAATTAATCCTACCATCTCTGGAATCATTTATTGTGGATTATGTGTAAATTTGTATCACATTCAACCTTTAAGGAGCAAAAAAAAAAAAAAAAGATTCTCCAAAATATTTTATTCAAAACAAAATCTTCACTGCAAATTTAGATTAATAATCTGAGGATTGCGGCACAAAGAAAATACTTTTCACAAAATCAGAAAGCATTAGGCAGAAGAAATGGGATTCATAATCAGATCTGTCTTCAATTTCAAATCTCCCTATTACGTAACAGCTACTGACTATTACCCTTCTTTTCGTGTTGCACACCTTGTTTTTCATCCATTTTTTCGACTGCAGGGTTTTATATAGTATTTAACCTTCTCAGACTTATATTTAAGTTTAAATCCCTTTTAATTAGGTATCCTAGTCTCAATCAAATAATACTCTTTTCAGTCTTTGAAAGATGTACACAAATATTTATCAATATTCCAAGTCATGGTCCAGAAAAATCTAACCTTATTCTTGACCATAGCTGTGTATCCAGGTTTAATTATCTCCTGTAATTTTCTTTTCACTCCTGAGGTCTCAAGCCTCAGCAAGAAGAAGAGATGAAAATACCACCTATGTTGCTAAATCCTTCAATTCCTACCTAGGGCATCTAAGTCAAAAGACAGATGTCACATTTCTTTTCGTGATAAAATTTATTCCTACATGATACACCTGTCTTTTGACAAAGGCTTAGATAATAACATTGCATTTTACCTAATCTGGAAAAAATGCACAAACTACTCCAAATGAGAACTTATAGAAATTTAACTTGGCTAACAAAGAATGTGAACAACAAATGAATATTTATTTTATATTCTTCTTGCTGACACATTATTTTTAGGCTTCTTTTTGTAGAACTTTGTGTACTTTAAGTTAATTTTCTACATCAGTTCAAATAATATGGTCTACTGTGTATTTTTAATTGTAGAGGTTATCACATAAAATTTTATAACTTAAATAGAATGATGAATTAAAAAATGGCGATAGTAATGATGATGACAATGTTGAACAAATTAGTGAACTGGCACAAAAGAAATATATGAAACTGAATCCTAATATCTGGTCAGTTAGGCACATCACTCTAAGCTCTTACTAATCAGGTTTAATAGGGAGGTATACGTCTGCATAGTCATTTTTGACCCTTAGTCACTAGGTGCTTTAAAAATGCAATTGCAAAACTTAAGTATGTTAAAAAATATTTGAGGTATTATCCTATGTAAGCGCAGGATAAAGATAAGCTTTCTAAATATCACTAAGATTTTAGGTATAATTCAAGCCTTAATGATAAATTCTCCTGATCAAGTAACTCTAACCAACTTAATGTGTAAATACTATTTATATTTCCTCATTCATTTTTGAAAAATTTATTCTTAGATGGTATTATAATATATAACAATTTATAAATATCAGAAAATACAAACCATGAACAGATAAGAAGAAACAGGCATATTCCCTTTCATAAACAATCCACTAAGAAATGAGTCCAGCTTTGCTTCATTTAAAATGCACAAGCACCACCACAATCACACACACACACACACAGACTAACGCAATCATTTAAAATCACCCTTACACATTTTTTAAATTACACATGAATATCAATCTCTTGTAGGTATATGTTAAGCATTACAAAATAAAAACAAAGGAGAAGAGTAATTTTCTGCCTTACTGTTTTAAGACTTCTCATTCAAAAACATGTAAATGCAGGACACATTTTTGGGACAACTGAGGAAATCCAAATATGAACCTCTTACAGATACTCTTAAGAATACTTCCATAAGTATTATGAAATGACTTTTTTTTAATTTAGTGAATTGCTTTAGCTAATGATGCCATAATTGAACCAAAAAAAAAAAATCCTTATTCTTAGGAGATGTCATGATACCTGCAACTTTCTTTCATGTAGCTCAGATTGATTTTAAAAAGGGTGCAGAGAGAGAAAACACAACCAAATATTCTTATCTGGTGGATCTGGCGTTCCGACACACAGGCACACATACATGTTCATTGTGTTAGTCTTTTAACTTTTCTATAGGCTTCAAAAATTTCAAAGTAAAAACTTGAAAAACTCTCATTTCATATGATTTTAATTACTAATATTTGTTTCACAAGAAACAATTTGATCCAATCCATGCGCTATGAGACATTATCCAAGCTATGTTCTTCCAGCTGTCCTCAGCAGTTCGAAAGGATTTCATGTATTTAAATGAGAGAAAAGTGCAGATTTACTTGGGGAAGGAAGAAGGGAAAGTGGCTTCAAAGTTTGGGAGTTTGCCTGGCACACAGATGCCACATTTTGTGAGGCTAGGCTCTGTCTCAGTCTTCTCAGCCCTTCCCTGCCAGCTGACTGATGGCTATCTGCAGGGAGCCACAGGGGGTCCTCCACTGGGGTGTGAGTGCAGAGACAAGATAAGGAAAATGCAGTCACCCCAAACTGAAGGGAGAAGGATCTCCCTGGGGTTTTCATTTGGATGCATCTCCAGATAGGGGCAGGTAGGGAAGTGGAAAGAGCTCTTAGAAACCAGGTGATAAAGCATAAAGAAATATTAAAATGAGCCATCCTCTGCTCAGCTTCTTAGAAATGATGACTTAGGAAATGATTTCATTGTAAATGAACTTCTTTCTTGTATTCATCATGGCAAAGCATAAAACTACTATGAAACTAAGGGGGGAAAAAACCCACGTATTAATTTTGAAACCAAGAGAGTAAGTCTCAAACTCAGGGATAGTGTCTTTAAACAGAATAATGGGCACATGGCGCTTAATAAATGTAGGAGTTTTAAAAATCCTGTTGTGAGCAAGTATTTTCCTCACTACCCAGAAGACAAAGGAAAACAGTGAGTGTTGACAACATGGTATTAAAAAGCCACCTCTACCCAATTTGTTATCCCCAAATATATATATTCTTTTTAATTTACTCTAAGCCAGCACGTTGGCTTATAGCATCTTACTTTTGTGTCATTATCTCTCTGCCATACACACAAGTCATGGCTGGGGATTTCAACTCACGGTGATACTATGCTAAGATTCCAGATCTCAGTAGTGTTGGCATAAGCACTGGTCTCTTCAGTCATAGAGAAGACAATATCCTAGGGAGACTGGAATTAGTCCTATTTTGCACCATTCAAGCCAAAATGCTGCTTATCAAGAAGCAAGTAATTGCTAGCTAATGGCTATGAGGGAAAAAAAAAAAAACATTGCATTTCAATCTAAGCATCTTTTGGCCCATGACAATAAATAAAGCTGTGGAGAGTGTAAACATAAAGTAGGGACCGTTTCTTGAGGAGGTTAAATAGCAAACATTAAAAAAGGCGAGTTACCTCATCTGACTGGGAGGGACTGATTCTGGGCATTGGTGATACTTGGGGCGTTTTCAACTGTGTGCTGTTGCTGTCTGGCACAAGCTCTCGGTGGACGGTTTGGATGTGGTTCTGGAGTTCATTTTCAGACTCAAACTTAACGTTGCAGCTAGAGCAACGCGTCTTCAGTCCCCCCACCTTGCCTTTCCCCTCGATGGCACTCAGATTCTCATTCTGGCCCAAGCCTGGTCTATTCGTGCCGGGAGGGACATTGATGCCTGGGCTGGCGCTTTTACTGAGATTCACGCAGCCAGCACACAGACCATATGGCAGGCCATTGATGTCAAGTTTCACCAGATCTTGCTTGGAACGGAATTCTTTGAGGCAAGATGCGCACTTGTACAGTTTTTGGACGTGCTGGCCACGCCCTGTGGTCTGAACTGCAGACCCATTCCCTGTCTTTTGCATGTGGAATGTCCCATGGATTTTGAGTTCCAAGGTGGAGGTCACTGTCTGCATGCACACCACGCAGCGAAAGCCCGTCAGGGAATTCCTCAAGTCAGGGTGCATTTGGCAATGCTCTAAAAACTCCTCTTCGCTCTGGAGAGGCATCTTGCAAATCCGGCAGTTTCCAGTATCAAGACTCTTACTATGTGTGACTTTGTGTTCAGTAAGAGTTAAAAGGGAGGGAAACCGCTCCCCGCAAATAGGGCACATGTAGTGTTTGACAGGGCCTAGGTGGGTCTGCATATGTTCACGGAGGCCATTTTCGGAGAAGAAGGTTCGAGAGCACACGTTGCACTTGTAATTCCCTTTAATGAGCTCAGCTTTCTTTTTCACGATGGCACTTTCTCCAGGTCTGATGTTGTGGTCTCGCAGCTGGTGATTCTGCAGCAAAGTTTCCATAGTGTAGGCTGCCCCGCAAATGTCACAGCCGTACATAGGCTCAGAGGTGTCAACATCTTCTTCGCTCCCATCGTGACTGTTGTGGGACTCCTGGCTGTTGGTCAGCAGAGTCTGCAGCTCCACTTCCTCTTTCTGCACTTGCTCGGAAGCTCCATTTGTTCCACAGTTGGGTGTCTTGGTTTCGAATACACAATGTTTTTCTCGCAAGTGTTTTTCTAGCAAAATGATTGCATGGAAGGCTTTGCTACAGAATTTGCAGTTGTACTTCTTACTGTGAGTGGTGATGTGGCACTGCAGCTCCACCTCGGTGCCAAAGGACTCGCCACAGAAAATGCACTTATGCACTTTCCCTTGGTTTTCCAGGTGGTTGTGTTTCACATGGAGCTGCAAGTCAGTCTCATTGCGGAAGTCCCAGTTGCAAGATGTGCACCTATAGACTTTCTTTTCGTTACTGTGCTTCACAGCCAAGTGGAGCTGAATGGACACTTTGGAGTCAAAAACTTCCTGGCAGAGGGTGCAGCGAAAGAACACGAAGGTGTGCATGTCCAGCAGGTGTTTCTGAAGGTCATCCACCGATGTGAATTGCTTGTCACAACTCTCACAGATGTAATATGTTGAGGTGATCATAAAGTGAATCGTAACATGCTTCAGCAAGGATTCTTGGTTGGGGAATTCCTTGTTGCACTGAGGACAGGTCAATTTTGGAAGCACAGTGTCGAGATGAGTTTTTAGGTGAGTCTGAAAGCTGCCTAGGGATGTGTACTTAGCACCACATTGATTACAGATATATTCTCCAGCTGGACGCGCAGGTGCACCTCCTACTCCCTGCATCATCTTAAGAGATGTCTGCTCTATGGCCACAGGAGATAGGGGGCTTAAGGCCCTGGATTTCTTCCCATTGTGGATATAATTCAGGGCCAAGGGAATGTTTTTATGATTCTCTTTGATATGCTTGTTCAGTTTAAGAACACTGTTGAATATTGGCGAATTTGTACAATAGGAACAAGAATAGACTTCTACTACTGGTTCCTTGGGAGTCCCAAGCACTGGAGACCCAAATCGGGAGCCACTGAGATCACAATGGACCTGTCTTATATGCTCTTCAAGGGAAGAGTCAGTGAGAAACCCCATATAGCAATGGGGACAAAAGAATGCATTACTATCTTTAGCTGCAGGGTTTGCAAATCCATGAGAACATCGGATGTGTTCCTGAAGAGTGTTGAGGTCATTGACAACTTCAGAACAGAAGTTACACTGGTAGACAATGGCAGGCATGGCAGAAACAATCAGTCCTGGGTCCTGAGCTTCATGCACTTGCTTAAGATGTTCATTTAGGTTATAGAGTGATGGCAGGACCTCCAAGCAATACTGACAAATATGGGCCTGTTCTGGCTTATCTAAGTGCATAGTTTTCAGGTGAATCTGCAGAACTGCAAGACTTGAAAATAACTGCTTGTTGCAGTAAATACAGCTGTAGGTCACTTTTGCTTGTTTACTCGAGGGACCAGTCAAGTCAGGGGTTTGTTGAGCGGCCCTCTTCCTCCCTCGACTCTTTGGGATGGGCGGGGCAGCTTCCACCATGGTTGAGCTGTCCACTGAGAGGTTGGAATCTGGAGTCGTGCTGGACACGGAAGTGTAGCCCACCGTGACCAGGGAAGGGCTGTTGCTGTGATTGCACGACTCGGGTTGCTGGTGACTGTCCATGTGGCTGTACAGTTCCTCAACTGTGTGGAAACTCTCAGAACAAATGCTGCATGAGTTCTTCTTCTCCCCGCCGTGCACCTGCTCCATGTGGTTCATGAGGGAGGTTTCCTCTACAAAGAGCTCGTGGCAGTAGACACACTGGAGGGCCGCTCGGTCCTCGTTTGGGGAGCATTCGGGGTGGCACTCTGCAATGTGTTTTTGGAGGTCTTCTGGGAAGTCAAAGCCTTCCTCACACTGACTGCACTTCTGAGTGTCCTTCATCTTCCAGTCCTCCATCCTGGAACCGGACTGGGAGCCGTCCTTATTCCTCTCGTGAACCTGCATGTGTCCGTGTAAGGAACTAGAGGACAGGAACCCACGGCGACAAATGGCACATTTATATGGCTTGTTGGACGTGTGAGTCTTTAAGTGGATCTTCAAGTGATCACTTCTGGAAAACGCAGCATCACATTCACTGCAGTGGTACTTCTTGTCCCCGGTGTGGAGTTTTATATGGCGATCTCGGCTGCGCTTGTGTTTGAACAGCCTACTGCAGTAGGTGCATTTGAAAGGCAGTTTGTCGCTGTGACTCTGCTCATGGTGCTTTAGGTAGCTGAGGCGGCTAAACGACTTGTCACAGAATTGACATGGGTACGGAAGCCCAGGACCACCTTCTTCCTCTCCAAAATCGCAACCTTCTCCATGGCTAGGGGAAGTCTGATCCTTGCTAGAAGGTGAGGAAGCTGGCCAAGAGCAAGTTGGATCATCTTCAACATCCACTCCATCTGCAACAAGAAGCAATGACACATTTCATCTGACATGTTGAGACTGAAGAGTGAGTTTACCATACCATTTCAACCAGCACACAGAAATGGGCCCTCCTGAACCTTTCAAGAAAAAAAAAAAAAAATGAAAGAGAGAATATTTGAGTGAGACATTTTCAAATCTGAGCCCAAAGCACTTATTCTGCATTTACTTTTTTGTTGAATTGTAAAATATAAGAGGATATTAAATAGTTCTATGTCTAAATTACCCTTTTATTACTTTTTATCATTCTTCCTTAGAAGCAAGGTATATATTATACATTGACAATTTTATTAAAATGCAGATTTTAATATATTTAATGTTTCCTTTGTATTCATTCTAAAATGATTTGCATATTATGTGAGCATCTGAAGAACCAAATGAAAAGAGGAAATATTACAGGAATGATTTAAAATTAATGCAGTCAACCCAGATGTCTAATATTTAATAAAAAATTCCCTCTGCATTTTGCTTGTTTTTATATAAAAAGGCAATTCTGAAGACCAAAATCTTTTATGGGGTTCTTATTGATACAGACCTTATTGCTTTCAGCAAAAAAATATTAAAAAGTAAGCACATGAAAGAAGACAGAAAACACAATAATAATTATGTCTTGTGTAATGAAAGACAACCAGGATTTCTTCAATAACTGAAATTCGAATACCACAGACCAGAAAATGGATTATTAAATGTTAGAAGGGTAGTGCTAGATATTACATGTAGCTAGGATCAGCTAGGATCAAGAAAAAATGAGAGTTTCACAAGGGCCAGATTTTAATAGTGTATTTTGTTTGGAAAGTTCAAGAGGTGGCCCACCATATCTTCCTTTTGCAAAAGCTTCAGCAGCCTGAACTTCCTTAGCTAAACAGGACCTGCACTTTGAGGTGAGCAGAGACAAAGCAACTTGTGAAAAACTGGAAACAGGAAAAGTGATAAATGATTATGGTAAATGCTGAAAGATTTACGAGTGACAAAAAGAAGACAAACAAGACCGAGAGCCAGATACAAACTTAGCAAGTTATCCATAAAGGAACGTTACCTTGTGTTAGGTGATTTAAAAAACTATGTTCTTAGCAAATGTGCAGTTATTTCTGTTGCCTTCTTGATATCCAAGCGGAAAATAAGGCCATCTCGAAACAGGTTGTGAAATCTCTTTTTTGCTTTTCACAACCTATTATTCAAGATCAGAAGAAATTCTAAAAGCTTTTCCCTCTCCAAAGGAGCACAATTTTTCAAAAATACACACATGTAAAGACCATGGAGTGGAGGTGGTGGGGATAGTGTTTTAGTTAGTATAACAGGCTTAAGTAGAGCATCATCAGAATGTTCTAATGGTATTCAATTAGAGTATGTTTTTAAACAAATAAGTTTTTTTAATTCTTCAAGGCTGAAGTTCACTAGCAAGCTAAATTGTTAACATAAAAGTAGAAACTGGTGAGCATTATGTAAACGAATTCCACGTCTGCTTTCTTTAAGGTAACAAGATTTTACTAGATTGTCAGCCTCTTCCTTATCCACAGGAAACAGATGAGGATCATTCCTTTCCTGCATCTAGAAACTGATGACAACACCATCTCACTATCAATGCCAGATGGCAACCCTCTCACTCTGAGAAAACAACCAAACACCATTCCTGGATCCCTGCCCACTGCAACAAAGCTTCTCCATACAAGTTGAAAACCGCATGATTTTGCATCCTCATTTATATGACTCTATAACCCAACAAGTTTCTAGCAGAAGAAAGGGGACGTGGATGTGATTTATACTTAAAGTGAATACAGCAGGAACGTATGCAGATAAACTCAACTCACCATTCGACATACAAAAAAACAATTCTTAAACACTAAAATGATGATCTAGTTTTCCCCTTTAAAAAGTGTTGTCATCTAAAGCTAATATACCTGAAACAAATCAAGGTTTCAAAGATTTATCCTAATGGAAAAAAAAACGGCTATTTATTAAATGTGCTCAACATTCTAGGTAAAATCTACCACATTTCACATATATCTTTTAGGCTTAAATCCTGCCACTTCATTTAAAAGATATTTTCAAACACATTTTCTCATTTATACATTTGGGGAAAACAGTGAATCACAATTTGTCATGCATCTAGCCTAGACGGATGTAACTGCTCAGCCTGAAAATTTAGCAAGTGAATTTATTATTAAATTGCAGATTGTGTCCAGGCATGACATATTTTATACAAATACATAAAGAATTATAGAGCGATGAACCATTATAAAAATTGTGCAATCCCTAACACCATGCTTGAAGCAGGTTCTTGTCTGTGGTCCATGCCTGACTATATTTATTATATAACTGTTCTCTTAAGCTTGTAAATTTTCAGTGACATGTCAAGTGAGCTGAAGGTTAGGATCAAGGTTTTAACCAGGATTCAAGACAGCTAGAAACCTTTTCTTTCTCCTCTCTAGTCTCCATTACTTGTCTTTGTAAGGTAAATTACACAAAACCCCTATAGCAGTCGTAAGGCTCGGGGACTGCGCAGAAGTAAATAGTTTGAGCAAGGAATGCTACTTTTAGAAAAATAAAGGTTCCCTGAAAGGCTGATTTCGGTTTTAAAATATAAAATGTAAAACTCTCATTTGCCAGTGCTATAAATGGATTGCATTCTCCCAGGATGCACAGGGACTCACTGACAGAACTCCCAGCAGGCTAGTCCACGCTCTTCAGGTATCACACGTCTCCAAGACTTTTGTGGTGATGGTCTCCCCGCCAACAAACTCTGAGGGCCACCTAAGTCTTTGAGAGTTATCCATCCCCATTAACTTAGGCTTTTTGGCAGCCACAGCGCTAACTATGCTTAAATGGTGAATATAGATTTAAATGATGTCAATTTCTTTTTACACGTGGAAAAACTGTAGAGGATTCTTACAACTCAGGTTCCTGAATCAACTTTACCTTTCTTTTCCCTTCGGCACTAAGTGCTACTTAAAGGGACTGTCTTTCTGTGTGATGGCAAGTTTTCTGCATTTCAATGTGAAGTACTTAACATGTCCACGTTAAATTTTAATTTTTGAAACCAGTCACTTCACTTGAGCTGACTCTCCGAGAGCTGTAGCTCTTACAGCCGAGAAAGCTTTGCTGGAAACCAGCTCTGTGGCCTAAAAAGTCTATTTAAAGATGCAAATGTGTGTGCATGGTTAGTGCAGATGTTTTTCTACAGCAACTGTACTTGCTGAGTTTCACCATTTCCATAAAGCACATTAAAACAAGTGTGTGAACACTCCGAGATGAAAGTCTCCAACACTCCTGAGACTTTCAGTGGAAAGTAGAGCCGCCTGACTTTTCTCCAAGCAGACAGGAATGCCCATGATTCAGCAGCCTGAGTAAATAAAAGAGGTCCTTATTTCCTAATTTCGCTGGCTGGCCACACTGCAGCAGCCTCTGTGTTTCTGCCAAAGGGGATGCAGAACTGGAACTACACCCAGCCGCTGAAGGCCTGTCTTTGTTAGCCAGCCAGGCTTTCCGGACCATCTTCTGGCAGCAGAACGGCCATATCCTGCAAGGAAGACCTCCATCTCGGGCTCAGCGCTTCTCTAGTCTGCCTAAAAGGACGAAACAACAGATTTTGCTGGGTCTGTGTTGGAGGAGGACAGCTGGAAACTCAGTTAGCAGCAGAGTAACACCTGTTCAGGCATATTTATGGGGGAAAGTGCTCACTAACAGAAAAGTGAAGTCATACTAGAAGGAGTTATTCCACAGAAAAAAGGCAAGAGAACACAAAGTACCTTTGTGACGTGAGCCACCAGCCCCTCGTGTGCCAACCTGGGAAGGAGGAAGCAGAGACTGGAAGTGATTCGATCTCAGCTCCTGCTGATGGACAGACAAGCAGGCAAATGAGGGTCTGATAAGTCTCACTTTATGGCCTGCCATTGTGGAAGAGAAATGCTGAGGGTTCTGGCTACTCATTGGTGTTCAAGTTCAATCGAATTAGCCAGAAATTAAAAATTAAGATCAAGGAGAGAGGAAGAGAATATGTGCAGGAGGGCTAGGACTAATTGTAATGCTTACTTTCTGATTAAGCAGGTCTTAATTTGTGTAGGATACACACTTCCTGAGGACAGGGACCAAGCCTTTCAGAAGGTTGATTCCAACACTAAGGGCCATCTGAAATTACTCAAGAGAAACTAATGTAAGAAAGTGGATGGAAATACTTTCATGCTTAAAGACATTATCTGAACCTCTAAAGTTATGGAAATTTCTGATACCTTAAGTTTTTTTTTTTTGGAGACAGATCTTGCTCTGTTGCCCAGGCTGGAGTGCAGTGGCACGATCTGGGTTCACTGCAACCTCCACCTCCCGGGTTCAAGCAATTCTCCTGCCTCAGCCTCTGGAGTAGCTGGGATTATAGGTGCATTCCACCACACTGGGTAATTTTTTATATTTTTAGTAGAGACAGGGTTTCATCATGTTGGTCAGGCTGGCATCGAACTCCTGACCTTGTGATCCGCCCGCCTCAGCCTCCCAAGTTCTTCATAGGGCCTGGTCTGCAAGAAACTGGCTTAACAATATCCTTTTGCTACCTGAGCTTCTTCACTGCAACAGCAGAGTACCCTCTTAACTGCCCATCAAGGACTCAGTATCATGTGTGCTAGTGCCACACAGCAAGGTTTCCTTAACAGGGACAGGATTTACATCAATGGTTACTTTTCAAGTAAGGAAAAGAAGCACAAATACTGATGGGTCTGGTACTTGTATAAGAACTAAAAGTCAAGAGTCTGGAGTTTTATTTCTAGCTTCATAACTGACTTAGACAGTGACCTGGCCAAGTCATTTAATCTGCTCCTACCTAGGTATTTCACCTGCAATATGAAGATAATAATTCTTGCTACTTACCCTCTGGGGTGTTACAAAGATTAGTGAATATTTCTAGGGCACCTTATCATGGCTGGAAGAAAAGCTGCATATGTAAACAAAAAGATTTATATGTGTTGTATTTATTTCTGTTTCCATGTGTAAG